TCTAGGGAAAATAGAATTTGTTGTATGCTTGAGAGAGCAGCAGATAGAGTCTTCAGTTGCTTACTGCAGATCTGCCATTCCTAATAACATTAAAGTTGTAGAGGATGGTGTCAATGTGAAACTACAGGCAATGCTTCAGGAAAGACCAATTATTATTCAGTTCTAATGTTACTGCTGAATCATCATAGGGAAAATGCATCACAATCATTAATAACAGATAAATGTCATAGATGGTGGAGAAAATATTTTAAAAATTCAATGGTTTCAACTTAAGTGGCTCATGAATTATACATTTAATTAAGAAAAGCCAAATGGGAAGAATTTTAAACTTCCAATTTGTAAGGTAGTTTTTTTTTTTTTCTTTCCCCATTAAAAATATACAGATTTAGCATGACAGTGGCTGATGATGGAACAAAATAGATAAAAGCCCACACTCAGCCTGACTATTTGGGATGGGAATAGGGAGCCCATGGGGAGAAGGGAGAAGGGAAGGATGAAAAATACAGTGACAGGAAGGGTTTGCAGGTTAACACATTCACCAATTCACAGAGGAGCACAAAGGGGTACCTGGATTCTAGTAACAGAGCTGCTGCCATCTTCCCCTCTGTTTACTCATCTATAAAATGAGAAGATTGGGCTGAGAGATCATTAGGTCCCTTCCATCCCAGACATGCCATGCATCTATGAACTAAGGAATATCCTTTTGTTCAGGTTTCCACATACCACCTGAAGAGAAATATACAAGATGGCCACCATTTTATCAAACTCTGAGCCATTTCCCTTTCTGGTATGGTTATGCAGAGGAGATTGAGAATTACCATTATATTAGTGATTTTCAAAGAAATGTTCCAGGACCCACCAGTATTACCATTCCCAGATAATTTGTTAATGATGTAAATTCTTTGGCTACTTCCCAGATCTACTGAAGGAGAAATTGGGAGTGTAGAACCCAGCAGCTTGTGTTTTACCAAGTCCTTTAAGTGATTGTTATGCACACTGAGGTTTGAAGATCTGTCCCCTGGTGAGGCCATTTTGGAGAAAAGAATTAGTTCTTAATGGTTTGACAAATACATTCTATTCCCTGCTAATAGTAGCTATAAACACATTGAAGTAATTGAAATGACAGATTGACCTTTCATTCTATAAGATTCTGAGGAAACTGAACACAGGACACACAGTGCTGATGGCAGGAAGGGGATGGATGATCAGGAAAAGTTGTCCTAGTTCTGAGTAGGCTTTGATATGCACAGAATTTGGGTGTTTGGAAGGAAGTCTGAGAGTAAGGAAGAATGTTCCACAGGGAGCATATTGACATAGAAGAAAAGGGTCAGTTATAGATAATAGAAAAGAAGAAAGATGGTATTAGGGAAAGAGCAAAGGATTTGGCATCTGAAAAATCTAGGTTCAAGTCCTCTCCCTTCTACATGCAAACAATGTGATTTTGGAGAATTACTTTTCTATTCCTAGCTCTAGTACCTTCTCCTATTAAATGAGCATATTATCAATAGCCAATTAGCTTCATAAAACAAAATTTGGGGATGATGAAACAGGTATGAAATAGAAGTACTCATTTTTTCTTTATTATTCTTTATGTAATATTCCTTATATCTGGACCATTTTCTTCCGACAGCTTTTAAATGTTCCACTCTTAGAGAAGGAATAGATCAGAAAGTTTTAGCAACTAAGATGAAAATGAATTCACCAAGGGAGAAATGAAAATTACAGTCTCAGGTCTCAAGATTGTAGGGTAAAGAATAGGAAGATTTCTTGGGCATTAATGGCAACCTGTAATTTCTCAGTGAGAAGGGTTAACCTTGGATTTCAGAGAGCTAGAGCTTATTTTTCTTCCCAAATCAGCACTGAATCAAGATCCCTAAACTGAGACATGGCCCTGGGAATTTGCTCAAGATTGTCTTTATTTCACAAAAGGTTCAAAAGATGAGGAGTCACTGACAACAAGGGAATCTGAACTACATTTTTTCCTCCTCTATATACTGAAGAAAAATTTACTATCTAGATACCTCTCACTTTCAAACAAAAACCCTTTGAGCATCTCTTTGGTGGAGACAGAGTAACAGGCTTAGAAGTGAGGCAGCAAAGGACATCAGTAAGGAAACTTAGAAGCAAGAGACCACATGAAATGATAAAAGACTCCAGTAGGGACTTGCAAAAGCAATGAAGTTTCAATACCCTGGAACAGGAAGAGAATGTCAAAGCATATTTTCAAAAATAAAAAGTGAGTTTCATTTATGCATACTTGATCTAAGAGCATTAGACTCTTAAGATCAAAGGAATGTTGAGGGTGGAGTAGACAGTTCATAGAAACATAGGTTTAACTTCCCGTTCATTGCAAAAATAAATATTTTTGCAACGTCTCAAACGTAGCTCATCCATCCTCTGCTTGGCCATCTCTAATGGTAGAGAGCTCATTACCTCACAAATCACCTCTGTTACAGCTCTGAAGTTTAGATTGGTCTTCTTGATACTAAGGCCCATAGGGCTTTCTGTAACCTCCAACAGCCAAAGTCCTATTTTTGCCTCCTGGGCATCAATAGGAAGGGCTCTTTTTAACCCTTTCTGCACATGACAGCAATTCAGATCTATGAAGTCTGCTCAATTATTCTTCACCCTGCCCCCAGGGTAAAAATCTAAGTTTTTATCATTTTCTTTTGTGACGTAACTCTGGTCTTTGCTGTGTTGGTTATCTGTCTCTTGATATACTTGAGAATTTGAATTCCCCTTTTGGTAAAGGGTGCTCTGAACATAATATTCCAGTTCAGCTACATGAGCCATTCATAGGGTGTTGAAAATACTGATTCCATGATACTTCACTCAGATATAAGGAAACCAAATTGCTAGGAATAGGATTAGCTATCTGTATTTTAACAAGCTTCCTTAGTGATTATAATGTGCTCTGAATAAAACATAATACTCCAGTCTGAACAGTTCAGAGTAAGAATGAAAAATATTATTCATTATATTGTTTCACAAGCTGTAAATCATTCTAGTGTTTGGTTTTCCTCACACTATTCCCAACCTGTTTTTTTCCCATTTACACAAATAATACAGAGTAGTTAAAAATTATAATGTGACAGAAACACACTATGTAGAGAGTAAAAATTTTTCCCCTCACCCTAAGAAAACCTCTATATATGTTCCTAGGTTGTTAAATTTAATAATTTGTATAAAGATACACAGATGCATACACACACATACATACACATACATATACATAGCATTAACCACCTTGATTTGCAACATGCTTTTCACATAACCATACATCTTGGGTTTTTTTTCTACCTGAACACTACTTTTATAGGTTTAATGCCACTTTGTACATTTTCACATTCTACATATAAGTGGCATTTTTGTTGATTGTTCTCTGACATATCATCCTCTTCTATTTTCTTCTTTCCTGAGAATTATATCAGAGTTCTATCAATATAGGTGAATTCATTTTCACTAAAATAACTTATGAATTGTTGTTAGAATGTAATACCTTAGCTCCTCAGCACTATTAAATGGTCTGTTTGTAGACTCACTATTTTTCTTTCTCTCTCTTCCCTTCCTTCTGTCCTTTTGCACTTTCTAAAATCTGTTCCCTAAGTGTACTGTCAGTGCTTTATTTTTCCCTATGTGAAAGAGATGATAAAGATGGCAAATCCCCCCACTCCCACTTCCTCATAAGTTTTTCTATATAGATCAAATTTAAGGTCAGAATAGCTATTGATCTGTATTGCCTCCTCATCCTTTAGAGAATTTATATACTGTAGAGTTAGTGAAAAATGTTTCTGGTAGTCTGCTCCACCTGGGGTAGATTGCTAGGACGTATCAGAAATAATTAGTCATTTTTGGGTCTATCATATCTTTCTTCTGCACCCGTTTTTAATACAAGTGCAGATGACAAGTATGACCCACAGCCTCTGCCTGAACTAGGGGCCCCTAGTTGCTTTGACTGTTCTTCTATGAGCTGTGATTTCCTACTATGTGATTTCTGAGTTCATCTGCATGTGAAGGTGTTTTCTACCTGTGTATTTCCCTTCTTCACCCCCCAGCATCTGTGCATTTCACTTACTTTGGAGTCCCAGGAGAGCCAGTTATAGTCTTCCATTTCCCTAGAAGTAAGTTCGGTTCTACCTTGTTTCCATGATACATACAATTTCTTAGTCTTCAGATAGTACCACACTTAAAAACCTTAATCCACAAGAATATTTGTCTCTGGTTGAAGATTTCTGGCTAAATTTTTTTAAAAATTGACATGTTATTTGTGCAAAATATGGAATAACTATAACTCTCATATATTTCTGGTGGAGAGGTCAGCAGGTACAACTATGAAAAATTCTTTTGTGGTTTCTTATAAAGTTAAACATATATCTGTCTACCTTATTTCTCACTCCTAGGGCCTTATCCAAGAGAAATGAAAATGTCAACAGATAGTCATTTCAACTAATACATAATGGTCCCAAGCTGGAAACAATCAAAATGCTCATCAGCAAGAAAGTGGCTGGACAAATTGTGGTATATTTATAAAATGAAATATTACCAGCAATAAAATGCAAAGAAGTACCTGATAGTCACACAATATAGGTGAACATTAAAAAAATCCATGTTAAAAGAAATCAGACACAAAACAGTTTAGTGTGGACATCCTTTGGACTACATATTGAGAGACACTGTTTTAATGTGAGCATTACTGGAGAAATACATGTGTATTTTAACCCCATGATATTTTATATATGTTACAGCTGTTCTTAATACATTCATCCACTTATTTTCTTGGCATGCCATCAGTGCACCCCTAAATGCACAAAGCCAGTGATGGGCAGGATGACTATGTCATGTATCATCCAAATTTGAATATAAGGGAATATTACAATTATACCAGGACACCAGGCATCAACTGGGGCACAATTGTATTCTAATTATGGAGAAGAGGGCACAGAACTTCCAGATAAGAATGAATACAGTAAGGATAATGCTTATTTTTTTCTGTTTCCCAGACTTATCTTATGCATGGACCTTCAATGATAACCCCTTATATGTTCAAGAGGACAACAGGCGGTTTGTATCCCAAGAGACAGGAAACTTATACATTGCCAAAGTGGAACCATCAGATGTGGGCAACTACACTTGCTTCATAACAAACAAAGAAGCACAGAGAAGTGTTCAAGGACCGCCCACTCCCTTAGTGCAGCGCACTGATGGTAAGATGATGAGCTATCTTGGGAATATATTTTCGCTTCTGAAGCCTGGGGACATCTGTTGAGCTTTCAGCTTCCCTCTGGTTCAGAGGAGCCACATCATCAATGAGTTGAGGTTCAATTTACAAATGTGATGGAAATCAGATATTGTAAAAAAATATAATAGAAAATTTTATAATTCACTCACATGGTATAGTTTATATGATTCTGGGTATATCGTGCCATTTCTTCACTGGCATTGGAACAGATCCTTTCCTTGCTTAAGGAACATTTTATATAAAAAATTTGTTTGAGGGAATAGGCGTGTGTGTGTGCACGTGTGGGTGCTGCCAAACTTATTAATGGAATAATATTGTTTTCAATGAGCATATGATGCCTTTCTTTAATGCCTCTTTCTTTTCTATAGTTGTCTTTTTTGTTCACCCTTTATTTACCTGGCTGGCAAAATGGGAAAAAAAATTCACATCCAAGGAAAGCAAAGCAAGCAAACATTAATTAAAAGCATTCCAAAGAGGAATGAAACACTATTCATGCTAATTATATTCCTCCAAGGAACATAATTCAAATTGGTCTCTGATGAGTTTTGTAGTTTAGTCAAGACATAGCTGGCACAAGATTTAGAGAACTAGAAAACCTAGGGAAGTCATCGAAGTAGAATAATCCTCTAGTCGATTCTTTAATTAAATATTCACAGTGGTAAATGTAAAGATAGAAAACCTGTTGATGCATTTTATGATCAGATCTGGACTAGAAATGTAGTACCTCATAGAGTTTTCTTCTCTCTGAGGATTTTAAGAGCAAGAACATAATGCTAATGATGGCTAACAGAATTATGGAACTAGCTCCATACAGGGAGTTCTTATGACAGAGCTTTTATAATCACTAACCACCCAAATATACTTGGATAGTCTTAACTCAGAATTCAGCAACCACTAGATATATTCATAAGTCCAATTTCTCTCCTCCAGTGAGTACTCTGTTCATGAAAAAAGCGCTCATAAGCCAATAATATGCATAGAAATTCTACCATATTTTTCCTTTTCCTGGTCTACTTTTAGTTTCTCCTTCTCCCCTTCTTAAGTCCTTCATTCTTCTATCCCCTTTATTATCTTTAGTGCATACACGGTAAAAACAGATCAGAAGAATTACATTATATTAATGTTAATAGTATTAATATAAGAAATATCAAACCTCTTCTAAAAGTAGACACTCAAGAAAAATAAGATGTCAAGAAAATAGGATATAGAAAATTTAACTAGTCCGCTGAACTAGTATTCTGTACCACCTCCAACCATAGCTTCTTTGAATGTTTGGAATGATCAGGTCTTAAAAATCAAGTATTTTTATTTGATACATATTTTGTAAATTTCATCTTCTGTGCAGTTGTACTGACCACCAGTAAATCATTTACCTTTGGAATGGATTACTCTGGTATTTGGTTTATAAGTTTAAAAAAAAAAATCACAGTTTTTTGAGGAATCTTGATTTGCCACTTATTTCATTAATTAAGTTAATGAGGATAGCCTAGGGATATATTTCTGTTACACCTCTGGTAGGTAACATATTTATATACATTAGACTATTGTCTTATTATTAGCCCATATCCACAATTCCTTGTTAAAAAATTTAAAATTATAAAAACAAATGCTTCTTTATAAGTGAACAGCAAACTCATTTAGCAGTAAATCCTTACTGAACTGACATGAGAACATTTATGTCTTTATCTCAGTTATTATTAATTTATAGATTTTGTTGCAGAAATACTGTTATTTTCTATTAAGAGACCTCCTACAGTGTTAATGAAAATTTCCTTATTCCTGAACAGATCTGCCCCAGTGAGTTCCATGAAGGGGTAATAGATCTGGATATCTCTAGAGAAGAAATGTTCTTGATAATTCAGAAACATTTTAGAATCTAGGTGCATTCATTTCTTAGTTGGAAGACAAATTCTTTGTAAGATTCTAATGTGGAATATAGGGAAATTTGGGATGCCTCTATTCTGACACTGATATATCTTAGATATTGCTTTTTTAAGCAAGAAAAAAATCAACTAATTCCTTAAGTAGCATCATGTAGTTTCTTTGCCCTCTATCACTCATTTAAGTCTATGAAAATGTTGTTAATTGAAGTACAAAATAATCAGTTTTTGGTTAATGAAGCATTTACTTCACAGAAAACTTCTATTCTCCAGAAATGCTGCTAGCTCTTTTGATATTTAACAGGTGTGATGGGGGAATATGAACCAAAGATTGAAGTGCGTTTTCCTGAAACTATACAAGCTGCAAAGGATTCATCTGTAAAACTGGAATGCTTTGCCCTTGGAAAGTAAGGTTTTTTGTTTTGTTTGGTTTTGTTTTGTTTCTGGTTGCTTAATTTTTTTTTAAACCTTTTTGTTATTCAAACATTGCTGTAAGGTAAATTACCAAATAGATTTCAAATGCTGGGCAAAAGTGGAACTTTCTGATTGGAATTTAACAAACATGCCTAATACTCTGAAAATGATTGGACCTGCAGTTCTCCCCTAAATGTGCTGATGTTTCCTCTAGTTTGAGCATAACGAGTCCCATTTGGGCAGCATCTTGCAGAGGACTATATGTACTTGTATAAGATGGTGAACAAGTCATGAAATCTCCAACATATCCTTCACTCCATCTCATCCTACATCCAGAAATATATTGCCTGGAGTGTCCTTTTGCTTAATTAATCAGCAGTTCTCACAAATGAAAAAACCTGCACTGCAGATTTCCAAAATAAAACTAATTAAAGGCCATTGTTCATAGTGAATCATTAGAATTGAGCAAAACCTGCCCTGGAAGTGGAGGCACTTTATTTTACTCAGATAAGTGTTTATCAGCCAACAGGTTTGGAATGCTTTGAAGCCAGCCAAATATTTGCAATTTTGCATAGAATATGCAGACATCTCTTAGCCTTTTGGCTATATCCAGACTTCATTTTTATGCCTCTAAACACTAGAACTCAAGTAAGGAAGACATAGATAGACTAGATCTGTGTTTTTAAACTGTGTGCATATGAATTACCTGGGGACATTGTTAAATTGGGATTCTGGAGGTCTGAGGTGAGGCTCAATTTCTCCATTTCTAACATGCCTCCAGGTAATGATGATTCTTCATTCCTATAAAACATATTTTGAATAGTAAGCGACTCGGCCCTATCAAATTTGAGGGTTTACTTATAAATACAGAGTCTCTTCCTAGAGTGGTCATCACATTTAGGAAAAGTAATTTGCGTTCCAAGACATGAAAAACATTTTGAAAAGTTCCCATTTTGTTTTTAAGTAAATATGAAGTGGGAGAGCTAGGTTCTTGTCTCACAGAGTCAAAGAATGAGTCTCACTGACAAAAGAGAGTGAGTGGAGCAACAGAATTTTATTAAGCAAGGATACAGAGGGGAAAAAAAGCTCCCAGGAGTGAAGAGGGTCACAGTAGCTTTGTGCTGAGGGCTTTGAAGGTTGCTCTTTTATTGAAAGCTAACCAGGGAAAGTAAATCTTTTTAATACTGACAGCATTTTTGTGTAAGCAGGACTAACGATAACATCTTTAATGGCTTACTTTTTTTTAGGGTCTGTTTATTCTTTGTTGGACACAGGTGAATGTCATTAAAAAAGCCCCCCCTCCCCACCCTTAGGGCAGGGTGGTATGGTATGTTCCCTTCTCTGGTTCCTCACACGTACGCATTTTAGGGATTTCTCCGAACATGATCACATAGCCCCCTACCTATCTCTCCCTAGCCCCGCTTGTCCCTTTTTCAGACAGACTGAGCATCCAAATAGTGCTGGTTACAAAATCTCTTTAAGTTCCTTTCTATACATGAAATTTTATAGTTCTTTAAATTACATTTCTCAAGTTACTCATTTTTCAGGTTTTTAAGAGACCGTATTTTATTTTCATACAGTATTGGTCCTATAGTGTTTGTCCAATAAATAATTACTAACTGATTAAATCATGCTTAAGAAAGTGACAAATGGGGACTTTCTGTCACAGCCTTTTAAGATATGATGAACTTTCACCATTTTCAAGCTTTCTCTGAAATTAAAGTTTATAAAAAAACATAAAATGTCAGCAAAATACTCTGAGAACTAGACAATTTACTTAAAAAGACCAATGAAAGATAGCATCTGAAAAGAATATTTATAGCTGATTCTATCATATTTGGCATCAGGAAATATGGATTCCTGTAATTTAAAATATACTCTTACATGATAAATAACTTTGAAAACTATTGAGTCTCGTTCTCAAGAGTCTTATGTAAATAAATTCCATTTGTTAAACATTTATAAGTAAGAAGTTAGATTTTATGTATATATTCTATCTATCTACATATAATCCTCATAATTATTCAGGGTATATCATATTTTCATTATATATGAGAATACTGAGGCTCAGACTGAATAAGTAATCTGTTCAATTTCAAGCTCCTGTTGAGAATGCAAGGGCAAGTCAAACCTAGTCCCACCTGATTTTAAGTTCTGAACTTAGAAACTTTTAAATAAATGATTAAGCTAACTGCTTGTGAAACCAGGGAAGACAGATTCAATTCACAATATTCTCAAGAGTTGTCTGTTAGCAAACATGCTTCTTAACCTCTATGAATTTCCATATACTCATCCAAAAGGTGTTACAGTGATCTCTGCCTTTTATGTTTATTTGGAAGTAGGGGGTGGATAATACACGTAAAAAACATTTAGCACTAAGCTTTGCATTTAGGCAATGAACACTGAATTATTTGAACCCAAAATACAACTTCTGTTATCTTTTTGTCTAACCAGTGTTTGAGTTAGTGGGGATGATGGGACTAGAAAGAGGTACCTCAGAGGGTCTACAATTCTCAGCTTTGGAGTTCATTCCTTTTCTCTCTGTCTCATACTGATGGCAGTATAACAGAGAGCAACAAAGAGGGTCAGTTGTGGAGTAGAAAAGAGGAGCAGACCAGAAGAAAACTTAGTTGATCAGTATAGGCTTTGAATTGCTCACATATCGGATTTCCTAATTTTATTTATGTTTACTTTTTTTTTCCTTAAAAATTCAAACCTACAGAAATGTTGAAAGAGTAATATCTGGACAATTATGTCAATTATATATGTCCTTCATCTGAACCAACAAAGTATAAATCTTTGCCACCTTTCCTTCTCTCGTTTTGCCCTCTGCTCGCTCACTCTTTGTCTCTTCCCCTCTTACCACACACACCCATACCTGTACCCACACATACATGCCATGCATCAAAACAGATGGGTGATAAGTTATAACTTGGCCTGCACTTTTTTAAGGATTTTATTTATTTATTTGATAGACAGAGTACAAGTAGGCAGAGAGGCAGGCAGAGAGAGAGGGAGAAGGAGGCTCCCCACTGAGCAGAGAGCCCAATGTGGGGCTAGATCCCGGGACCCTGAGATCATGACCTGAGCCAAAGGCAGAGGCTTAACCCACTGAGCCACCCAGGTGCCCCATTTGGCCTGCATTTTTGAGAGGGATATGCCACTCAAAATGTTGCTTAAGATCCACACTCCATTTTTGGCTCAGCTTGCTATGAGATGGAGGAGTGGAGGAAAGGAAAAAGGTAGAGCCAGGAAATGTTGACCTTCCCACTTCACCATACAACTTCACTCTTAATTCTGTTATGGATACATGCTATAAGACTTCACTGGGCGTAGATGGAAGGAGTAGGTTAATAATCCAAACAGGGGAATCAAAACCTTAGAATATATGAGGTAAATTGTTGAAAATTCTCAAATGGAATGATTTAGAAATAAATGAAATCCTCTCTTTAATAACCTCATGGTGTGAAAACAATCAGGACATTAAAACATGGCAAGTAGTCAAACTGCATACGGTAAAATTTATTATGTTAAAAAACATGTGGGAATACCTAAACTTCTGATATTATTTTACTAGTGATAATTGACTAAGGAAAATTAAAGTTGAAAAAATAATAGTTAAAAAAAAAACTCTCTGTGTTAAATCTCATGGGTATGTCCATTGCTGTACATGAAATAAAATGAAGAAAAATGGAAAATGATGAGAATTACTTCATTAAAAATTGCCAAGGAAATAGCTGATTTAATGGAATATACTCCATAAGATTTTATGTGATAAAATCAATGTTGAGATTATTTTTATTAAATTAAGTCATTAACATGGGATTGAAATTCCTTGGAGTTAAAAATGGAAAGTCCAAAGCATCCACTGGGTCGAAGTGATAGTGTTAAAATACGTTGGATAAGAAACACATATTCTGTGTAATTCCAGTGGAGCTACATTTCTCACTTCTTCAGATGGACAAAATGTATGTGAAAATGTTTTGTATACATTTGGAAAACATTATACATTAGTGAGCTACTAAGAGAGTTTTTATATATGCTTGCCAGTGATTTTCAGAGAACAAATTGCATGGCAATTGAAACACTGCAAACATACTGAAAATGCTTTTTTAGTTCATTATAAAATATATTTACCAAATACTATGCCAACTTTTTAAAATTTGCACAATTAGTAAACATAGAAAACAACACATTCTTTCCACAATACATTATATGCTTGGCATAAAATAACGATCTGAAAATGTTAAAAATCAAACCACTTGCTTTATAAATTATAAACCAGTTATTTGCAGTGTTTTTATAAACTCCATTAAAGTGGTTTTTTTCCTTTTTAAAAAATTTTTATTTTTTAAATTTCTTTTCAGTGTTCCAGAAAATTCATTGTTTATGCACCACACCCAGTGCTCCATGTAATACGTGGCCTCCATAATACCCACACCAGGCTCACCCAACCTCCCATCCCCCACCCCTCCAAAACCCTCAGATTATTTTTCAGAGTCCACCGTCTCTCATGATTTGTCTCTAGCTCCAGTTTCCCCCAACTCCCTTCTCCTCTACAGTGTTTTTACAAACTCTTCTGAAAGATAATTATGGATCATGTTCTCTGATATCTCTTGGTGAATATATTGCCATGCTGTATTTGGGCTTGTTGGTTTTTTTTCCCCAAAAATGTAGGAATTACTTTGTACAAATCAATTTAAATCTCCTAGTTCACTTTCTGAGGTGCCACACTTCTTTATAATATGTTCAATAAACACAAAGCTGAGCAAAACTGATTTGAGGAGGAATGAAGTCAAAGTTCTCTTTCTTATTAGCAATGTTTTTAGATACTCTTGTTAAATAACTAATGAATACTTTTTATGTTATAAACTGTATCTTCTATTAAGCAAGGGTTTTATATGTTTTGATAAGAGAAATAAATAGAGAAAGGGAAGGAGGGAGAGAGGGAGGGAAATAGGAAATAGTAGGTGAATGGGTGAATGTAAGGGAG